GTTAATGGAGGCCCCCAAAAACTTAGTAATCAAGATCAATAATATTTTAATACAATTTTTTAAAAAAATGAAATCCATGCCAGAAATTCTTGTCTCATTCACTTCATTCTAATCTCAGCCCTGGTTCCGTAAAACTTTTAAAAATATATATATACTTCATTAAAATGTAATTTATTTATTTTTAAATTGAAGCATAATTGATTATACATACTCTGGGGTAGAGTGTTGACTATCAGTATTTGTGTACAATATGTGATGACCAAATCAATATTGCCATGTTCATTATTACAAATAGTAATTATTCTTTGTGTCCCTTACCCAATTTCTCCCTAACCCCGCTCTCCCTCCCCCTTTCCCACCTCTAGTAACCATAGGTCTGCCTTCCTCCCTCCCACAGATGGGCAGCCAATGGGCCCTAGTTTGCTGATTTGTGCGTTGTCAGCCACTGTGACCTATCCAGGGAATGTGGAACTCAGTTGCCTACTAAGGCCAAACTTTAAATCAGTGACATAGGCTGAGTGTCCTGGGAATATTGCCAACTCCAGGGTCTTTTCTTAGCTCCAGCCAAGTATTGCTAGATCTTCCTAAGATGCTAGAAATCGGGATTTCATAAGTATCTTGATTTTAAATATCGAGAACACAACTTAAAATTTTTAATTTGCAAGCCAAGCTAATCCCACAGTTAAGCTAGATTCAGCCTGTGGGTAGCCACGTTGTAATAGCTATCTACTCAGTTTCTTAAGTATGCCCTTCTGCATTTATCAGTGTATACTTAGTGTGAGTTTATGTGGCTCCCCCCCATAAACAACAGATATTTATTTTCTCACAGTTCTGAAGGCTGGGAGTCCAAGATCAAGGTGCTGGCAGGTTTGGTTTCTCCTGAGGCCTCTGTCCTTGGCTTGCAGACAGCTGCCTTCTCAGTGTCCTCACATGGCCTTTTCTCTGTGTGCACATCCCTGGTGTGTCTTCCTCTTATAAGGACGCCAGCCAAATTGGGTCAGAGCCCCACCCTTATGACTTCATTTAACTTTAATTACCTCTTTAAAGGCCCTGTCTCCAAATATAGTCACATTCTGTGGCGTACTTGGTGTTGAAGCTTTGACATATAAATTTGGATGAGACATGGCTCAGCCCATAACAGAGAGTCCTTATTGGTCTCTGTGGCAGACAAGTTGGTTGGACATTGCCCAAAGCTCTGCCAATGGGAGGATGTCCCCTCACTGTTTCAGGGCCCCATGGAGTGAGGCGATGACACAGTCCTGGTCCCAATCTTTGACTTGCATCTACCTTCCAAGCCAACTTATCCATGAACCAAGCTTGACTTTTTGTCCTCCTTGATGGCAGTCATGAGGAACTGCCATTCAACTGCTGGTCTGAGGGAGTGGTGCTGGGGCAGCATTAATGAAGGTGTTGCGGTCTGGCCTCCCTTCTCATGGGCCTTGCTTGTGCCGTCTGGGACCTGATCATGAAAGTCGACCTTGTGTCTTGGTGGGTCCGACAGTACCCAGCTCGTGATGGGCTGTGCTGGCTTCGTGATCACTTGGTGTTGAACACTGTCTCTACTGGGGCCCAGCAGCACTCCAAGAACTGTTTTCTCAAAGATGTGTGGTTCTCTACCACACGTCATGGCCTTATCTGGGGTGTCTGTGTTGTGATTTACCCTTTATAGCTCGCTACAAACTCCACATGGAGTATGTCCCATCACAGATGCCTAACACCCCAGAATCAACCAGGTTACATGGCCCAAGTAGGAGGGAAGCTTGCATCACTGCTTGAACCTGCTTCTGAACCCTTTCCTGCAATGGGCACTGACTCAAAATTGACAGTCTTTCAAGCCATCAGTACATGGTTCAGAGCAGAATTCCCAGGTGTGGAATATTCTGCTTCCAAAACCCAAAGGAGTCATGGTGCATCCTTCTTCACGGTGGAAGGCACAAGGGGCAATCTTTTATTTACCCATAACTCTGCAGGAGATATGCCAGCATGTCCCAGACCACTGGGCCCCCAAAAGTCTGTCAACTCCAGAGGGCCCCCAAATCTTTGGAGAGTTTAATCTCCCACCCTCGGGAACACATGTATCTTACTGTAGCTTTTGATGTGCTAGCTACTCTTACTTTTCCAGCCTGACCAGCATGATCACCTCAATATAGAGGACCAGTATGTTTTGTGAGTTGTCTAGCCAGTCCAAATCTCTCCAGACTGTATGATGACAGAGGGTGGGAGAATTCACTCTAGGACCAAATGCATGCCGTTGTCTGTTCCAAGTGAATATACACTATGTCTGATCCTCCTTTCTGGTTGGGGTGGAAAAGACTTTGAGCAAATAGTGGCCACATGTCATGGGCTTGAGACCATGTTTGTGTGTTTGTCTGTTCTAGCTAACACCACATTGGGCACAGCAACTGCAACTGGGGTTACTACTTGGCTGAGTTTACAGGAGTTCACTCCCATCCTTCAGGCTGTATCTCATAGTGGCAAGGACCAGGATAGCAAAAGAAACAGGGACCACTGCCCCTGCACCCTTTAGGTCTTGGGGTGGCACTGATTTCCACACCTCCCAACTCCCAGCTGTAGGGGCAATTTTAAAGGCATCTGCTCAGCCTTCCCATTCTCACAGGCCAAGGAACCAGCATGGGGCTTGTGCCAACATCCCTGTATGCTCATTCCAGCGACATGTTCAGGAATCAGGGAACTGGCCACTGGGTGGTCCCTTCAACCCAGGGGACCCAGAATCCAGGACCCAGACTCCTCATATACCCCCATGCTCATGGGGGGCCCACCATGACTCTGTCTCCTGGTTTCATTCTCAGTTCCATCCCTGGGCTCAGCACTCCTCAAAATGTGTGAGCATTCCCTTACCCCAGGAGATAGTTACCTGAGCAAATGGCTGTCACTTCCTTTGCAGAAGGAGTGGGGGAATTATTACCTTGTCCACTTAGTATCACAGGGTCTTTCCTCCTGAAGATTCAGCCTCTCCTTCAGCCAAGAGTTTCAGTCTGAAAATGGGCTCAGATACAGAAACAAGGCAAGGGATCATGACTGGTTGGGGCGACTGCCCTTAGCCACCTGTTTGTCCACACATCAATTCTTTTGACTGTACAGATTGAGGAGCCCACTTGGCTGCTAGGCATTTCACCCAGGGGTACCTTGTTTTTGCTGAACCATCACCGTAACCTACCAGGTGGGCCCACCCCTTCTGATTTTTCCTCACTCATGATAATGGAATTCACTTGGTTTCTGACGATAGGCAGTT